CAGTCCCCAGAGTGTGGCTCCCTGTCTGAGCCATTCCTGTGTTTGAAGGAGGTTATAGAGGGATGTTATAGGGAGAGAAGCAAACATTTGTGTCGATGGAGGTGGGAGCATGGCCGCTCATTTTGCTTTGCATTCGGCCTTGTTGTTTCCCTGTGAGTTGGGGGTCGTTGGTGGATTGATGACTCCTATAGTGTAGAACTTACGCTTTTGTTGGGAGTTTTGCTGTTTGAAGTAGTTGTAAGACTAGGGGACTGTTGTTTATAGGGAAGCCTTTTGGGAGGTTGTGTTAAAGGGAAGAGACATGGCTTCAATTACCCTATCTGAGGATACAATGGCATAGCCAACCTGGCGTTGGCTTGTAGGTGAGGTGATGGAACTGCCATCCATGAACCATGTATGATCTGGGTGGGGCAGTGGGGTGGAAGAGATGTGGGATAGAGGAGGAAGGAGATGATCTAGAGCTTCCGTACATGAGTGAAAGATGCCTTGTGGTTGTAGGGAGGAGGGAGGCAGGGTTGAGAAGGGGGGCAAGACTCTAATTTAAAGATGGGATTTTCAATGAAAATCATATGGAATAATTGAAGGCATAAATGGGAGAGGTTTGAGACCGCTTTGTGGGTGAATAGATGTTGGAGGCGGTGTGGAGACCTAAAAAATAGGTCATCCACAATTGAAGGAGGGTACTGGGTGAGAGATTGAGGTTAGAGAGGTCTTTAGCCAGTGCTTAGAATCTGATGCAGCATACAGCAAGAACAAGCCAGGCGGTGGGGTAGGCGTGGCAGTTTTAATAGGTTATAGGAATAGTATCAGGGCAGATTTGAACTTGGCTAGAATGCCTTGTCCTAGGATTGGTGTAGGACTAGAAAAGCGTGTGTGAATGGGGTGTCATGAAGTAAGCATGCTGGGGATTCTGTGATGACAGCTGAGTAGGGACTACGTCAACCCCAACTATTAATGTAGGGGTAGGCTGGGTCCACCCTGAACATTCTGGTAGAGCTGAGTAAGTGGGCCCGGTATCTAAAAGAAACAAGACTGGCTTACCTGAAACATGGACCATTACCCTGAATTCGCTGGTAAGCTTGAACTGCCCCAACCTTGTGGTTCAAAATAACAATTCTAACAATTACAAGTGAAACAATAAAATCCTAGCAGCAGCATCCCCCAGCCCCTTTCACCAGACCCATTTGGAAAAGAGGAAAACGATTCAGTGGGAATTCTCCCTTGTCTCCTCACTCTAAAATGAAGCACACTCATGAAAACTTGTAAGCCAGCCACTTCATGCTTTTGTAGCTCTCCATTTTTAACAGTCAGAGTCTCGACTGCCCGT